GGGGGGGGGGGGGGAGAATATGTCAGCTGAAGAAATACTCATGGCCTTCTGCACAAGGGGAAGAAAACCACCTAATTCTCAAATTAAGAGAGCTCTGAGGCCTGGACAACCAACAACTTTTTACCAGCTACAAAAGAAAATTGCCCTCTGGAGACTCTCGGGTAAGACTACTTGATTTTCTTCTAGTAGAGACAATACTGTTTTATTTAATTACAAAGCATGTGGGATTATTTGGTGTAAAAATGTTTATAATTTAGCTATGTTTAAGATATATTTTTATATCTTATTTTTTATATCTTTTATATATCTTTTATAATAAAAAATATAAATAAATATATTTATTTAAAAATCTTTTATATAAAAGATATATTTTATATCTTATTTTTATATCTTATATTTTATTGCTATGTTTAAGATATATTTTTATAAATTGATGTGAGAATGAATGTATTTGATGGTTACAGAAAAATTCAAAAGGTCAAGAATTTTCTTAATATGTGTGTGAAAAAAACCCTACTTCATAACTTAAGAAGAATTGTGTTTGGGCTTAAGATAAAAGACCTAGTGAGAGAAAATTCTCACACAAACAGCTGAAGTAAGGCAATGCTGTAACACTGGCTTTTTGGATGCCTTTGTTTAATAGTGCTATAAGCATTTACTACTAGACAAGTATCTTGTACTCCATGAAAAATCTTCACGTGAAGTACAACTGCAAAGTTTCTAAATGGTCAGTGGTCGTATGTAATTCAGTAGAAAAGCTAAAGTTTGATTTATGTGGCAGATAGTTTCCAGGATCAGGAGGAAGCTGAAAACAAAAGATACGTTACAGGTTGTAAAAAGTTTTATTTTAAGTAAAATGAGCTCAACAATTTCCCTTTGAAGTCATAGTCAGCTGCAACAACTTCCAAATATAGTTCACTTCCTGAGGGGTTTGTAGTAACATGCATCAGTGCTGTGTGGTTTCTGTACTGTGGAGATAGAAAATCTGGAATTTCAAGGAGTCTGACCTTTACAAAACACACCAATGATGCATAGGAATTTCCCCGCACAAAGAAATGAACATGTGACTAAATTCTGTTCTGTAACGTGGCATCTGTCAAATGCAGGAAATACGCTGTTAGGAAAACCATTTTAGCACCAGTGAGATAACTTTACACCATCTCAAATGGCTACCTATTTTTATACAAAGGTTACGTTAACTTAGATCCCACCTTTACCTCATTCTGATGTGGCATGAGAAATACTCAAAAGGTTCCGTTAAAAAAAAATAATTAAAAAGGTTATCAGTTTAGTAGTTCTTACCCTAGGTCTACTAAGTCCCAGTAACCATCTTGCAGTTACAGGAACTAGAAGCCTCTCAGCCCTTGAAATCATTACACACTTAAAAGACGTAGGAAGGAAGAAGCCACGAGAGTGGAAAATTGTACATCAGGGAGCAGACAGACATTGGAAGGTTGTTAGTGGGATAAAGCTTTGTGAAACAAGAAATGTAAGGCCAAGCACTCCACAAGAGTTTAATCTTCCTACATTTCTTGCAACAGCTTGTGTTATTAGAAAGGTAATTAAAGGTTTTCAAGTAAACAGAAGTATCTACACTTGGAATAACTACGGGCTAGCCACAGCATTTCCTTTTCTAATGAGTCTAATTCTAAAGTGATTTTTCCAAAATTCTAACCCTGCCTGATAATCAATTATCTGCCTGAATTTATCTGGGGTTGCCTGTTTTTTGCACAGTTTAAAAAAATTCTGTGGTTTTCCTGTACTTAAGTGGGGTTTTCAGTCCTTGCAATGCACTTATGTCCTTCAACAGACATTTGAAATTGTTTCTTTGCCAAACTTCATCTCTGCACTTGCTATTTTCATCCTTGTTTCAAAATTTTTTTTCAATGAACTAAAACAAATTTGGAAGCTAACACTCACTTCTACACCACACTAAACCACATATCAGTTTTTAGACCAAGCTGGTGACAACTAGCTATTTGCTGCTAGCTTGGTGAAACAAGCTTCCATTTTTCATTGAAACTTTAAGAGCGAGTGCAGTATTTAACTCAAGTTATTTGTAGAAAGCAAGCTAAAGTATGGAGGGAACAGATGCTGAAACAGGAATAAATCTCACCCATTGCCAGTAAGTTTCTCTGTGCATCAAGGGACAGGGAAAACAATACCTGAAACCCTCCTATTCCATGTAAAAGGTTGATGAGTGCTCTTTATACCGATGCAGTGGCAATAGCACTGTAGCTGCTCAGCTTAAACTTTTGCTAAAAGTACTATGCCATCAAGGCCTTGCCTCCCCAGAATTCAGAGAAGAGGAACCCGTGTTACATACCGCTCTTCATGACTACGTTGGACCACACGTTGGCATTCAAAGCTTGTACAATTCGTTTCACTCCGGTGGACTCCGGAAAGTCATCTAAACCAAAAGACAAAGACCTTGCACTCTATTAGACCTTGCACTCTAAATATTTAGCATGAGGCCTACATTGGTAAATAACATATAAGTAAATTTCATAGTAATAAACAATTTTAAAATTGCTGTTAAAGGCAAGGCATCTTTTAACACAGGATCTCTTAAAATGCTCTATGGCATAAAAATAGATGCTAGAATTACTTTTCCTTTCTTTAGAAAGTAAAGAACTTCAGACAGCCATTCAAAAAAGGTGTAATGCTTGTTGCAAATGATCATTGTAAAGCTATCTCCACAGCATCTAACTCCAAATGTTCCAGTAATCCTGTGAGCTGCAGTAACCTGAAATCCAAATAATGTTTTTCCCAGTCTTTCAACTTATTTACTGAATAGATCTGACACCACTTTGTATAAAGTCAGTTTTCCCATTTCCTCAGTTTAGTCAGCTTCCCATGTTTGTGCAAATCTCACAAAGCAAGAAGGAAAACAACCCCTTTGGATAAAAAAATGTGATTGTTTAAAAATCAGCCTCTTTTAGGATGACTCAGGGACAGGTGCAGTAATTGAAACTCTCTTTAAAAATTAATTTAAACCTGTCTGTGACCCCTTAGATCAAATATTTTGCCCTCTATGACACTGTTGCTCGGTTCTGTATCAGGGTCATTATTGAGAGTGTCAGTTTAGAGGCCCTGTCTTCACTGCACAAACTGACTGACAGTGTAGTTATAGCAAGGGCTTCAGCTCATTTGTGATGAGATGTCAGAAATGCCATAATCTTTAAACAGGTACTGACCCAGTATGTTTACTGCATCCATTTTATCTTTTGCAATTCATACAGCATGCTTACTACCATAGATCCTACCATTAAAAATCCAGGAAAGAGCATATATCTTAATACCCTAAAGATTAACATCATGAGTTATTATTCCCATTACTTATTTAAATAGTAAATAGCTTGTCCTTTACAACAATTATTCAACAGAAAAAAAACCTTGACCTAATGTTACTAGTATTTCCTTTTAAAGCACTTTGTAAGAAAATTTTAGTCTATGGGGTACCAACTCCCATTTTTCTGGTTTCTATAAATCAGAAATATGTGTAACAAAGTGCCAAAAAGAAATGCACCTTTAAAGACATGGCAGGGAGGGGAGGGGGATTCTTAGCTACTCAAGATACAATTTTAAACTAGGCTTTTAAAGGGGGCAGGGGGGAGGAACTTGAGCTCTAGCTTAGAAGACCTTTAGACTACATTATGTTTGGTGACAGCTATATGCTTGATGAACCCGAAATAGAGCAAATGTTAGTGACTAATTTCACTCAGGCCTGGAAATGGGGTCAGTTATCTCATTTTGGCTCTGCAGAGGTAAAATATAAACACTTTCTTTGTATCACTGAAACGAGGAGATAAGGCTAATGCTGATAAGGCTGCCAGGAAGTGCACAGTCACTTTTCAAGAGTGGAACATCACACTTCTGACTTTGCTTGATGGGTTTTTTCAAGTTATAAACATATGGTCAGCCAGTGATTTTGAAACTGGTTTATTTCCTGTGTAACAGTGTATGCTATTCTAAAATGTTTTTAACAATCTCCCCTTTTCAGCCTATCATGTCACCTGAACAAGGTCTATCTTGTCATGCCACATACACTAGCTTTGAAGCCTTTTTTAAAAAAGTATTTTCCTGACCTTGTACATCCCTCTGGTTCTTTTTATATTTATTTCCTAAGTAGAGTATAAATGCTTCTATCTATCAATACAGTCCTAGGATTAGTGCCAGAAAAAGAAGCAGATACTATTTTTTGTAGGTGCTACATAAACAGCAGCTGTATTTGGGAGGAGGCAAATGTAATAATTTCTTGGAGGAAATAACCTCCTCCTCCTCCTGTCCTTTTATAGCTGAGACCAACTGGGAGCATTCCATGCTGGAATCATGTAGCATGTAAATGAAGTTATGCCCCTTGCAATTGTTTAGAAGATATTTTGGTGTGCTTTTTCATTCTGAAAATTAAAACAGAAGTAGCAATCCTACCATCTTCATCAGGCAGTTCCTCAGGGCTAAGTTCCACCAGTTCAAAGCCATGCTTGATACACCATTCTTGAGCTTTCTGTCTGTTAACACCTGAAAAGTTGGCAAACAAAAATGCATACTAAACATACATGTTTAAGACTAGTATCAGCAGTTGGATCTTTAGGTAAATTTTATTCCCTCCAAGTTGTTTGCTTATTCTGGATTGTATGGGGAAAAAGTATATAGTAGCTGGCATGGGTCCTCCCTTCACTTTGAACTTGATTCAAAAAAACGCCAGAGTTAAACAAAGTCCTCCTTTGAATTGTTTTTTTTCAAATACCATAAAATCAAATGGCTTTGCACTGGGTACTCAATGGGGAACTGTAAGTGAAGTGCCGGAGTGAATGAAGACTTATATTAACTCTAGGTTTGAATCTGAATTAAGTTCCAGGGACACATCTGCACCTTACAGCTTGCTGCTGTATCACACAAACTCATCTAGAATCAAAGTAAATATGCATATTTAATGTCCAAATGGTCAAAAAAGCTGAACATACTTTCCACTGTAGTTAAGCAACCAACAGTCACTCTCATTCTTCACCAGAGAGGATCATGCATGTCCAGTAATATGAATGCCTTTTTAGTCACCTTGCAGCACATGCTGGTATACAAGGAATGGAATACACAGAGCTCACTTTGAGCAAGCTTGTAAAATTCTGATTCAGTTTTAATCACAACTAGCTTAAGACTTCTGTTCCTGGTCAGAGTAACCTGGTTCTTCTCAGTCAAGTCTCAAGCCCAGTCTCACAGATATTTTAAGAAACAACTGTGTTAACTAGAAAATAAATGATACAGGGTTAATAACTCTAAGTCAGTTTGGAACTGGTTTGAGTTTCATACCATTTTCAGATACTCTGTTACAAACCAGGATCATGACTTCTGGTAACCACTCTTCTGTCAGGGGAAGCCATTCAGAGACACTATCAAGTCCAGATTTCTAAAGGAGGGGGGGGGAAAAAGTTATTTGGAATACATCCTCAAATACTTCAGTATTTAAACTACTTTTAAGTCATTAATAGTATTAGAATGAAAGCAATGAAGTAAGGAAATATGCTAGACTGCATATCGAGTATGTTTCAAGACACCTCTGTTCCATCAGAGGAGTTGACTTGTATACAACTTCCTTCTGATTCTTGACTTACCTTACAGATGAGTTAATCCTACTCCCTCGGTCCTCCCCTTCATGTTTAATATTAATTATGCAATCCTAGTGTAAATTAGGAAAATTTTTACTTAAGGCTGATCATGAGTATTTCATTTTAAGCATATCTTGGGTTTAATGTGCAGCTATTCCATCTTCCACACTAAAGTGGATGTTATGGGGGCTGGTGAACTACTCCCATTGCTCCAGTTTATTCTGAGACAGCCCCGAGATGTCTGGTTAAAGGTATCTTTGCAGAATGTGTGGTGTGAACCCTTTACCATCTGTGGTGGAAAAGAGATCCTTATTTAGAAATTTTTTTTTTTGTCTCAGAATCTTTCTGGCTTTTGCTAAAGCCCTGTTTTCAGTGCTGCCAGCTTAGTAGAGACAACTTTGGGTAAAATGATAGCACTGAATCTTACGTTTAGCTCCCTCATTCTTGGCTGTCCTAAAGCAGCCCTTCTGAACTAGCATCAGCTAGGAGTAAAGTTGGAGGTGGTGGGCTGGAGGAGGATTTGCTTAACTTAGTGGCAGATTTGTGTCCTGAAAACCTCTCTTCCAGCTGGAGTATAATAGTAAAAGGGAAGGGAACTGTTTCCATTGTTAGCACATATAATTTAACATTGATCTACTGACAATTAATAGAACAGCCTAAAAAGAATGGATGGCACAAGATGAAGGGAATATAATTTGTGGTTATCACTGATAAGGCAACTATATCATACAGATAAACAATATAATGGAGCGGAGGAGTCTTACTATTGTGCTGTCGAAGTACACAACAAACGCTTGCACAGATTCAGCAATATCTCCAGTAACAAGAAATGTGTTTGGTACTACACAGAGGTGTATATCTGCAGAGTAATATTTATTATCTATTGTCCAGGGGTAAAAATTCACTCCTCCACTTGTAGTTGCACCCACAGTAAGGTCATCTTTTCCTGTGATACCTGTATAAAAGAAAATGAATGAGACAGATAATAAAACCACCATCAAGAAAATGAATTTGCCTAGAGAAGCTTGGTACAATGCCAATACAGAGCAATCTTTACTTACTAGAATAAAACAGTATATGTTTAAGATATTTAAAAATTCAAACTCCATTTGTTACTCTGTCCTAAGAGGTTTTTTTCTAGCTTTCAAAACAAAATATGGTACAGAAGCTCTTCAGAAAACAAGCCTTTTTTCCTGGAAATGTCTTTTAAAGTGTTAGCTTCAAACTCACTAGCTGTAAACAGGATGTATGGAGAGAATACCTAGATTTTATTACAGCACAAACAAACCTTGCATGTTCATTCAGATGTAAAGAACTGTTTGACTGTGACCAAAACCTGAAGGTAACTAATGAGAAAATAAACCAAGTTACTACAATTCAGCTGTAACTCCCATTAAATTCCACGTAGGAGTTCGACAATTAAAATCCAAGGCAATGCTTTGATAATGTAATGTTAAACACTGCCCTTCGCATGCTGGTAGCAACCTCCACAGCACATGCTCCCATAGTATGACAGCCACCTGGTGGAGTTGAATTATAGTTCTTAGCTGAGCATCCCACCTATATACCTCGCTGGGAAAGGCTGAATATCTTGTTCAAGCTGGACACTTTAGAACACAGGTCAATATTATATAAAAGTGACTGAGTTATCTACAATTTCTTTGGGCATCAGAAGAGTTAAAAAATAAAAAGAAACAAAGTATATGGGTTTTCAAAGACCTGAAAGGTCATATTTTAAAGGTACTGAGAGACAGCTAGAACAGGCTGTTCCCCAAATAATCTGGATGTGAATTTGAAACTATCTGTATCTTCTCAATAAAAAGGCAGCAAACCTCATTACCAAGGTTGTCACAGAAAGGTTCAATGATTTTTTGCAAGTAACTGCAAATCTGAGAAACTGAAGTGGTGAATGAGCATGGTGCACAAGGCAGTGCAGAGGAGAGCTCTAGACCAGAAGGGATTCTTTGCAGCAGTGAGGATGACGAAACTGGGAATCTGAGGGAGAAATCTGACCTCTGAAACAGAAACCTGTGAGGAAAGCTCCTCTCTGGGTTTCTTAAAAAAAAAAAAAGCCACATCTACATGTTCTTTCCAGGTTAAGTTTGACTTTTTCATTGCAATGACAATAGTTTTCAGAGCAATCTGTCCAACCAGAAATTATTCTGTGGTAAGACTATCCATGTCTCCTTGGGGATGGGGGATGATGATACTGAGTTAATATCAAACAAACCTTGATTTTGAACTTTGTATTCTTAGAGCACCAGCTTGTTGACATAAATATGGAATAGACTACCAATACAACTAACCAAAAGCAGTAATCCTGAAAGATTTTTCAGGCTTTCACAGCTTTTTAAATCACTCTTAAGCAGCACACACCAGTTCCAGTGGTACAAAGAAGCTGTTTTCCCATGCTTATTTCATAAAAAAATTTGTATACCTGGATCTCTGCCCTGCAATGCTTCATCAAGTCACTTTGCAGCAGGTATCTCTATCCTGTTTGCGTTTGCTGATATTATGCTTTACTGACATGAAGCACCCATCTTCCAGGGAAACGAGAATGGCTCTTCAGTTAGTTTTAAACCCAAGCTTTTCAGTTTAGGCCACACAAATATATCAAGTCTACTCTTCTTCAAAAAAACCCTCAAGTAATTAGTAAAAAAGGTCATCAAATGTCAGTATGTCACTTTAGAAAATGTATAGCTTTAATGTACATATTCTAATAAAGGCATTTTGGCAGATGACAATTTTTTTTTCTGTTATAAGCCAGGAGCTTTAAGAATGAATTCAGTTATAAAACAGGAGCTTTAAGAATATATGTGGCATAATTTAGTTTGGTGCCTCTGGTAAACTGGACTGTAATTAATGTGCCAATTGCCACTAGACTAGGAGTTTCTTACAAATGGATATTAGGGCCAATGGAGGTAGCTTTCACTCTGGATAGAATATGACAGAATTCCAGCAACTGGGAAACTGGGTTAGAAAATGTCACTATGCATGTCCAAAACACAGGTATGCTTTTTCTTTTCAGAATTATCTGTTGCCCAGCTTTTCAAATGTAGGCATAATCTTAATTTTCTGCCCTGGAAGCCAGATGGTTTTTTTTGGAAGTTCTGAATGCTACATAAAATATGCTATAAATTTCCCTTCACTAGTGTTTTCACATTTAAAAATAAATAACTAACTAAAAAAAGGTTCTAAGCTAACAGAATTGCAAGTCAATGCCACCAGAAGCTAAGAAAAAAGACCACCATAGAAACTACTGAAAATCAGGACTAAGATTTGGAAAGCCAAAGGGAGGAAAACGGGGTGAGGAAAGGAAGTCAGTCCAAAAGTCACTTCAGTGAAGTCACCCACCCTAGCAAGAATACAAAAAGCAAGAACTTCTTATATAAAGATTTTTCAGAAGCTGATATGAAAGAACTTTCACGTTTGCTTTAAGTGATTTTCTTTTTTTTTTTTTACAAAAGAATTAATGGACAAATTTAGGCCTCAGTACCGCTAGAAGAATAAGGACGTGTCCCATTTCCTCTTACATGCTACTTGTTCCTCTATTTTCAGCAGTCTTCTTTCATCCCATTGTGCTTCCGATTACCCATCATTCATTCAAAGAAAATTTGCCAATCCCCTGTGAAATTTCTCCCCCAGTAAAAATGGATGTTGCACTCTAAACTGAAAGGACTGCAAGAACTTTCTGAAAGGATTCAGACTTGCTGTGTCTCAGCCTGCATGTAGGGTTCTAACAAATTACTGCAAACCAGCCTGATTACTCATGGCAGGAAACTAAATGCAGTTTGGGTATCTTGTGAATAGTTCTCTTCCACAACAGTCACTTAAAACCTATTAGGTTTTGGCCTTTAGAGTAAACAAGTGGAACTACAAAAGAAATACACTGCAATACAAACTGAGTTCTCAAGGATATATTCCATGTTGGAACTAGTTTTAAGGATTACATTTGTCACCTCTGGATTCCAGGAATTTCTTTCCAAGACAGCCAATATTTTAATGAAAAAAGTAAATTCAACCAGAGTAGTTTCATATCTAATTGTAGAGAATATTCATCAGAATAAGCCCCATTAAGTTTTATTTGGATACAGAATAAACGTCTAGAAAATTAATATGGCAAAAGGGGGTGGCTTGTCAAACTTACCTCCAGTGAGTTACTCATTTTTAATTTTAAACTCCCCAGCCATTAAAAGTGTCAGTGGTTTGCCATCCAAAGAGCCTGGAAAACCAGCTGAGTCACTCTTTGACCACAACAGTAGGCAGGCCTACTGGGCTAACCTAATTAGCTGGCCTTCTCATAGAGCAGAAGTGGCTTGTTTGGGTGACAGGAACGCAAACAGACTCCAAATGCATCACCATTAAAGAGTACCAAAAACATGCATGGAAAAGGTCATGCCACAAAGGAACACTGCTTACTGTCATGTGAAAACATGATTTGGAGTTCAAGGTCCTCTAAGAAATACTGCAACTACTAATGCTGGAAACTTACTGAAATAGCTTTTACAATCGTATCAGTAACTGCTGAATACTAGTTAAGACAATGTATTGCAGTGTCCCACACTTCGGTATAAAAGCACTTTGGAGCAACAGAAGCTTCTTCATCTACAGTGAATGATTTGAGGCTAGGGACCAAACAGACCATTTCTAAGCCAGTATCACCCTCGAGTCACTACCTCCTACGTGCACTGGCACCATTCACCTCTGCGACCTCCAAAGCCCCTGCGCTAACCCCACCTATGCCACCATCACCACATCTGTTGGACACAGACAATTATCTTCCTCCAGTTTATCCCAGTTCATAACTCACTTTGCCTATTTTATATCAGAAAACCATTTAAGAACATGACAGCAACTGACACATGAGGTCAGATCCTGCTTCAATCCAGTAACTAGTAAATAAATAACTGGTACCATACATCTTAATGACCATCCAAACTTCTGTGGAATTGGTCCAAAGGAAAAGGTTTTCCTTACTTCCAGGCAGTCGGTAGCTCATGTTTTTCATCAAATTCATTAGCTTTGTCCTTTCTTTACTCATAAGTATCTATAATTTCAAATAAATTAGACAAGATTCTGACTAATAATTTTGGAAATTAATTTTGGCTCTCTATTTACATAAAAGTTTGCTCATTTTACTAATTTAGACTTGTTGACTTTTAATTTCATGAGCCTGTATATAGACAAGGTAAATTAAACAATGGTTTAGAAAACAAGGAGAAGACATTGCAAAACTGTATAACCAAACATCCATTCCCTTTTTGTAATTGAGGCTTCTTAAGTGTTCTGTAAGCACAAGGCAGTAAGTACTCTTTCAAAAGGAGAACTGGAGACCAGAAAACTATTCAGAAGAGTGGAATAATAATCAAAGAACTAGATGTAGATCTCTTACCACTTGCAGCACTGTCCCCTGTTCTCTAATACCCAACTGATTTTGAAGCACTTCTATATTGTGTGTAATATTTTTTCAGAATCATTACTCCCCTTTGCAGGTGTGGTTCTTTTTTTTTTTTTCCAAAGGGATTAAGTTATTGATCACTCTTTCTAGTTTGAAAGATTGAATACATAAGAACATAATTCAGTTTTCTACAATGCCCTAAATGATCCCAAGTCCTCCTGGTAGGTGCATCAAGTAGTTCTCATTCTGGGCCTTGAGAGCCACCTGGTGGAATACTCCATAAAAAATACTCCTGCAAATTACACGAGGAGTAAAGAGAACTCAGAAATATGCTGTGGGGGAGGAGGGGAGAGGTAAACAGTCAAAAAAGGGGAAAAAAAGCCAATACACATCACACAGTATTTATCTGTTGGCCATAATTTTTAAAATCTAAACCAATCTTATTTGCTGTCTTAATTTGTGATAAATATATCTAAGAGAAAATCCAATTGTATTCTGTACATTTTCAATAGCTTTGTTTTGTCACAGTATCTAATAGAATAAAACGTTCA